GCTCAGGCCATCCACTCACCTCAGCCTCCCAAAGGCGCGGGATGACAGGCGGAGCCACCGAGCCGGCTTAAAGCTGTTTCTTAAGGCACTGAGCTCAAGCGCCCCATCGGGGTCTTGCCTCCTGGGAAAGGGGCTGCCCAGACTCTCGGGCTCCGGGAGGCTTGTCTCAAACGCTGTTTTCCCCTGTGTATGATGGAAAGCGTGACGCCTGTCACATAGGCCCCGCCCTTTACAAAGCAAGTGAGGGTGTCAGGCAAGGCTTCTGGTTTGCGAGGTTTTGCCGGAACGCTAAAGAGGCTTTGGCAGGCTGGCCGCGGTAGTGCTCCCGCCTGTAATCCGGCTACTTTGGGAGGCAGAGACCAGAGGACTGCCTGAGCTTGGGGGTTTGAGACCAGCCTGGGCAATTTGGCAAGACCTCGTCTCTACAATAAATCGAAAAATAAGTTGGACATGGCAGCACACGCCTGTAGTCCAGCTGCTTGGAAGGCTGAGGCGGAAGGATCACCTGAGCCCAGCAGGTCAAGGCTGCTGTGGCCGTGAGTGTGCCACTGTACTCCAGCCTGGGCAACAGAGTGAGACCCTGACTCAAAGATTAAACAAATAAATAAGTTGACAGCCAGTGATCTCCCGCAGTCATCACAGCCTCTGTGATGTGCTTCTCTTCCTTCTCCTGCAACTGGCTTCCCTGGTGACACCGATGGCCTAGCACTGTGACCTGTCACTTAAGGCTGGCTCCCTAGGGAGACAGCGCAGGGACATGGCATATTCCTCCCTCCTTAAGCTGGTGTGTGGCTGAGCCTCTTTGGCTTAGCAGAGGCTGTGTTGCAGAGGTGCCGGGGGGACACCGTGTATCTCCCTAGGCCTCAGTCTTTGGGGACAGACACCATCAGTGCAATGCACCACCCCCGTCAGTGACGCTGTCACTCCAGGCCCTTTCTTGTCTATACCACCCTGAATATGCTTGGCTTTGTTTCTGAGAGATGAGCATTTGTGAAGTGGGTGCCTCTCTTAGGGTTGTTATAAGGACTGGCTGTGGTAAGAGATTTGAAATGCTTTGCAAGCCGGTGGCCCTTGCTCGGTCTTGGAGTCAGGAGGAGAGAGAAGCATCGGAGTCACAGTGCTGGGGGTGCCTGTCCCCGTCTTTCGTGTCTTCCGCATGTGCCACACAGCCGTCTGGCAGCCACAGTAGAGGAGCACGCCGGGGCTCCGTGACATGAAGTGACTGGCCACGGCACCCCAGCTGTTGTGCAGCAGGACCAGGCCTGAGTCTGTGTCTTCCCAGCCCCAAAGTCCCTCTGTACCCTGACCCTGAACTACCTCCTCTAGTTTCTAGAAGGGCTCTGTCCCAGGGAGAGCTCTTCCCCCTCCCACCCAGCCGTGGCCATGCTGAAACCTCAGCCCGAGGTGTCCAGGGCAGTCTAGAGGACAGGCACGCCAGACACACACTTGCCATTTATTACACGCAGCGATATCCATCTATACAGAGATGGGAGGTGGGCAGCCTGGTCAGGGCGGGTTGCCGGGAGGCCTGCCGGAGGTGGAGGGGCTTCTGGGTCAGGCCCCCTGCTCACGCCAGCTGCCACCAGCCCTGAGGTTCGCTTTGTCTGCATAGCTCACTGGGAGGGCCCCTTCTGGCAGCCTGACAGAGTTCTGGGTGGGAGACTCAGGGCCGGGGGACCCCGACTCTGAGCAGGAGGCCTGCCTCCTCAGGCCAGGCCAGCCCCATCCCGACCCTGCTCTGGGTGATATGGAGACAGGGACAGGAAGCAGCAGCTGGTCCAGCCTGGGACCCTCCATCCCCGACACTCAGGGCTCACTGGGCTTCAGGCAGCTGGGCCCACGTGGCGGTGACCAGAGCTCGGCCCCTGCTCCTGGCCAGGGGCCCCATGGTCTCATGGCAGGTGGCAGCCCGAGGCCTGCTGACTCAGGGAAAGCTAGGCCCTTGGGTCCTTTCCGCTGTCTGCCCCCGGATCCAGCACCAACGCTGGGCGGGAGTCTTGAGGGGCCCGAGGGTAGGGGCGGCTGGCTGTGGCTGAGTCTGGAGGCTGGTGAGGCCTGGGGCAGCTGAGGCTGCTGTCCGAGCCCTGGACCTTCTCGGCAGGGCGTGATGGGGACCGTGGAGCTCCGGGCCAGCTCTCGAAGGGCAGTGCGACAGCAGTGAGTCTGTCCTCTGGTCAGGTGACAAGGCTCAACCCGGCGTCTTTCCAGCCTTGCCTGAGCCGGAACCTTCACCTTGGTCTGCCTCCCAGGCAAGACCAGCCCGAGGGCGCCCTTCATGTTCACAGGTCCTCTAGGCTGGCCTGGCCACTGTCCTGCAGCTCCACGTGCTGATGGCCCTGGGGCCTAGCGGCACACTCTCCAGTGTGAGAAGGCCATAGGTGGTGCATTCCAGGAAGAAGATCAATATATTACTGTTTTGTTTTTACAAAGATTAAGCACGTCCACACGGATCTGTACAGGTGTGAGCTGGGCCTGGGGGTCACTGGAAAAGGAGAGACTGAAGGTGATGAGAGGCCCCGCCCCCGGCACCTGCTCCGGCATGCCCCTTCCTGCCCTTGGGAGCAGATGTGGCCTGTCCTCTCTTCCCATGTCTCCGCCGCCACTCCCACTCAGTGGGGCGGGTGACAGAGTCCCAGGTGGCATGGAATGTCCTGCTCTGGCTGGCTAGGTGTCGGCTGTGCCGTACGACCGACAGGGTGGGCTACCATAGTCACCCAGGAACTCAGCCCAAGCCTCCCACGCGGCAAGAGAGTCAAAACCAGCGTCATGATGGGGACACCTGGCTATTCAGTCACGTGTTGGGAGCTGCAGACACTCAGAACTCCGAGCGGCAGCACCCAGGCCCCAGGCCCTCCCTGCCAGCCACCCTGCTCAGCCTGCCCCGAGACTGCCCTGCGGGTACCTTATGCCAGCAGCCGGGCACGGGCAACCCGTCGGGGCCCTGGAAAGGAATGGGGTTTCAGTGAGGGAGATCAGGATTTGGGCAGCTCTCCAAACCCACACACCTGCCCCTGTTAGGAGTCCGCTGGGCCCTATGGAGACAGGGCCAGAATGCTCCTGTGTCCACCTGGGTGGCAGGTCACTGAGCCTGTCCTGAGTGTGTTCCCTGTGTGCTCTGTTGAAACCCCTGTGCAGTGGGCAGAAACAGGGGCACTAGGAAGGCATGGGCGTTGTGCTGGACGTGCACTGGCCAGGGGGGACCTGGCCTGGGCCCTGCCGAAGGCTGTGCAACTCCCTGCTGCGCAGCAGTGGCGATGGTTCTGGCCCCTCTCCCTGGGGGCTGAGAGCTTTTATGGCTGCAGGAATGCCTCCTGCAGTGTCCTAGGAACGCCCAGGAGGTGGCAATCCGCTCATCTTATCC